AATCTATAAACACCTAGTTTTATCAATGAGTTTCAGATCATGAGTATGTAATTTCTAGATCTTGGTATTAACCTCTCCTAGTTTTTTACTCCACTTCTTTCTATTCTGATCCTATCATCCTCTCTCCTAATTGATTTTTTTTCTTGTTTTTCATACTTATCCTGCAATTTAGCATTGTATAAAACTATCTCAGAATAATCTTAGAAGGTGTTTTATAATTCTTTTTTAAGGTCTATTATATTGGCTATATTAAATAAAGAGAAATATTATAAAAAATAGCAAAATATAAAACATATATATACTTATCGATAATGCTATCAAAGAAATTACACTCCAATATAATTCAACAATAATAGATAATTACTGATTTTTTTAGAAAATTATTGAATATTAAGTATGTAATTACCTACGATTACTGATCATTTTTTAACATAAAAGAAATAGGAGTATTTTAGTATTTTCAATAATTTCTTATAATTTTTTATAATTATAAAAAAGATGAAACACATAACTGTAGAGTATTATCATACTGGTACTCTTTATTTATTACCAAAAGCTATTGAGGAAATTATTCAATCTCGAAAGATGGTTAAAAATGCATGCAGAGAAATGGCTTATAAATATAGTACTTCAACTTGTAGAATATATAAAATTTGAAAAAGACATGCTGAAAGAATACCCTTGCGCAAACAGCAACTAATACATAGTGTTGTTTCTTCTGAAATAATGTCTGAAAATAATACTTTGGATAGAAAGTCAAAGAAAAGAAACCTAGGATCTAGCTCTAGATCTGTTTAAGTATCTGATTCAGTAAATATTTTGATAAAAAAAGTAGTTGAAATAGATGATTTATAAGCTAGGCTTGCATAAAATCACAAAGAAAGAGAAGAAGCTAAACGTGAGACAAAAAGAGTCTTAGATTCTAACTAATCTACTTTTGTTTTTTCTAGAGTAGTTTGTAGACCCAAAAGGCTATTGCTAAGCAATAATCTACATATCATTTCAATATCAGACTCATTTCTATAGGTCCATAGTTTTTTATTAAGCTTGATTAATTCTGTATTAGATTCGAGTACCTTATATAGCGATTTTTCTAACTTCTCATAGCTCATACATTTTTTTTTAAAGTCAAATCTAGGCTAAAACCTGCAGGAGTATGCCATTCCTCTAATGAATCATTATTACTCTCATTACTATTCGCCTCTTGAGAAATTTGATCAGATACCAAAGGCTTATTACAAAGCAATAGGACTTTGTTTTTACTATTCTGAGATGTAGTAATGCAATTACTTCGAGATTATTTTTTACTTTGTGTATAGTAACTGGAATAATGTGATCCTTTTCATTAAAAGAAATTTTAAACTCCTCTTTACTCCAATCTATAGTATATTTATATTTCTTGAGAAGTGAGTTTGGAAATATTAATATTGGTTTAGAGACATGTACAACTACAAAATTTTCATATATAGTAAAACCTGGAGGAAATGTTATTAGAAAATTATGAGCAATACCAATAGATTCTGTTAGAACTATAGCAACCTACTAAGATCATATTTTTCTGATTTATTAATTGGCCAATTTACATGTTTAACAATGTCTTCTGATGTAATTGGAAGTTCAGCTCTACTATCTAATACCAATGCTGGAATTTTTAAGTATTTGATTTTAACTAGTATAGTTGCAAGGCTTGTGGTAGATTCTTTTCTTTGAACAAAATCTATTTCTATAGGATCATTCAATATCTTCTCTTTACCATCTGATTTGAGTATTTCTGAGGCCGGCTCTCGATAATTATTATTGTGAAGTAATAACCTTTTAGGTCTATTCTGAATAGATAGTAGCTTACTAAAATTGGGTTTAAGACTTTGTAACAAATATCACAGATCGAAATTTTTTATTATAGAAAGCTGATATGCAGAAGATATAAAAAAAAAGAACATTAATAAATCAGTTAAGAAATTAGTTAATAGTTTATA